TGCTAGCAAATGCCTTCACTAAAAAAGGACTATGGAATCAGATAATGAAAATCAGTGGATTACATACATCAGTTTCTGTCAAGATAACATTAATAGTACACCATCGCTGCGTCTGTGTGCAGTTACACCGTTCTGCCATTTTTTAACCGTGACAGCATCTTGACACGCAGGATCGTTGTGAAAGAAGACGGCCCCTTATTTCAATGGGGCACAAATCGTCATAATTCATTATACTGTTCAATTCTAGATAGACTGCTATGCCAGCCCCAGTGTGATTCGACCCATTATATCACAAATTATGAATTGCAGTGGAACGCGCTGGATAGCAGCCATCATCACTAAGTTTGGATCGCTACCTTTCTCTAGTGGTCGGTGCATATTATCTCCGCGCTTCGTTTTTGTGGGGTGCTTACACAATTTTTACTATCGCCATCGGAGACAATACTGCCGTTTTCATATCGGGATATTGGCCACTGCATTTTTTGCCATTGGCAGCTCACGCTGTCTGTCATTTGACAGCGTGTGCCTTAGATTCCCTTCTTTCCATTGCAATCCTATTGCTATATGCATAATATTCGTGTAAGAAGCTTGTGACATGTTGCAGCGAGCGCTGCTTGAGGCAAAAGCAAGAGCCCCACACGTAGGCACAAAGGGGGCTTCTAATAGCGCCATACGTTATGCCTAGACGAAAAGCTAAGAGGGTAACGAAGCATGGCTTTTCCTCACGGACCACATATATGGATAAACGTTTTTCACTTAAAGGGAGCAACCACTAAGCTAGCATCACTAATAAATAAAAAAAAAAAAAAGAACAAAATCTGATCTGGTTTGCCGGACGCATGATTTGCTGCCTCGGTGAACGTGGATTATTGGGAACGCATCACCAGCTATGCCCTATCATCCTCCTTACACTATGAATTGACCCCACATGTATCTGATATTGGTACCAAGTAAAATGTATAGAAATGATGTAAACTATATTTGATGTGTGAATGATTTTTGTTGTGTCTACTCTTTAGGTAGCAACTTTGAATCGACAGCAAAATTCAGTGTAAGCTTACAAAAACGGAACTTGACTTAGGTCCTGCAGATAATTTAAGGTGGGGTGCAAAGGGCCGCTCTTCGTATTCGAGTGCAAAGTGAGATGGCTTGTTTTGAATCACTGAAAATCGTAAGCATGCTTACGTAGCTTACCTGTATATAGCATCACTGAGCAACTACAGAAATGAGACAGCACCGCATGGCCTATCCGAGATGTTTCTGACATTAATCGAATCCCAGACCCGAAGAAGTTGAAGAGTCGTTTGTTACGCTTCTGCCCCACAGATGGCGCCTTCTAGCGGAAAGGTTACATGGTACATACCGGACCGCTATTTATCGTGTGCATAAATTTATATGCTCATATATTTCGCTGTTATCTATTATATATTGATTGGTAAAATTAAATGCGCATGGAAAATGTTCGTTAGCCTTGCGTTTGTCTATCTCCATGGTAAAGTGTGAAGGGCTTTTTTTCAGAATTGACGATGATGATGCCATATTCATGCGCTTCTGTATGACAGCACTCTGACCCCTATGAGTGGATAATAGACGTGGCGGAGAAGAGTCGCTTTATAGTCGATTACAGTAAGCATAATTCTATGGTTTAGTGTGATCCAATGAGAGCGCACTCCACTCATCACACGGCCGCCGCAGTAATGACGGCGTCGACGGCTATGCTGGAAGTGACGTTTTCGGCAGACTCTCTGACCGATTTTAACTACAGTCACTTCACTCATTCGTTGTTTGTCGCTAACGTGAAGCGAACTGAAGTGCGCAGGCGATCGCGATGGCGGAGTTATACCACTGTATTGTGGACGTCGTGACGGATGCATACAAGGCCATCGATGCCATCAGCATTACAGACAGCGGCTCTGGCTACTGCTTCTATTGTCTACGGGTAGTAGTAAGACAACCGAAGATTTTCACTGTTAGTAGGTTGCCGCTGGCGATTACTAGCTGTCAGTGCTGACGCATAAACTGTGTAAAACACCATACCGGGAATATGGCGTAGCATCCCGGTACAAGGTGGCAGACACAATGGGGAGGGAGCAGTTATGTGCCTTCGCACATCATGTCGCTGTACAGAACGGTACGTAGTGTGCTAGCACCAAAGACATCAGTCGCTGCTAACCAGTGACGCAAGCCTGCCAGTTGGTCTTTCATCGATAAAGGAAACATTTTCTTACACCCAGCAACGCATAGTGAAGCTACGAGAGAGAGAGAGAGAGAGAGAGAGGAGAGAGAGGGGAGAGAGAGAGCGAGAGGGAGAGTGTGTGAGCGAGAGAGGGAGAGCGAGAGGGGGAGGGAGAGGGAGATCGAAGGTGAACGAACGAAAGAGCCACCATCATGTCATACACAGAGTGCTTACTTAAATGTGTGCTGCGGTGAGTCTGTATGCATGTGGCCGTATATTTATAAATAGATTTTTGACCATTGGCACGCATCAACCGTTAACGGCACGATATCGTGCCGAACAACACAATTACGGATGCAACTATACGTGCCGATACCTGCTGCGTATTTTACAGGAGTGACGTTTTAAAGATGCTACTCATGAACATAATAAACAGCTCGCACTAGCTTTTGGGAATAACAAGTTTCATTGAATGATAGTATAGAGAAAATTGAAACAAATTAAAGTATTACTTGTATAACTGATCAAGTGTACTAATGTACAGCTTAGAGAGTACCTCGTACAGAGACATTCTATAATTTAAAAACCTTCTAGATTAACGGGTATGAAATGGTGGCATTATGAATCTTGTAGTTACTCCAAGTTCTAGCCGAAGTTACCGGCAGGGATTGCCCACGGACAAACGGTTTCAACGGTCGGAACAATTCGCTGACCGTGTCGTGAAGAGGCGTCCAGGAGGTGGTAAACACAATGTGGGCATTACGAAGTTTCTCACGATGGGTTAAGATAATAATTTTTTTTTTTTAAGAAAATACCTAGATGGAACTTGCGCTAAAAGTTGTTGTCGTCGCCGTTTTATTACAGCAACGAACACGATACCTATTTTTTAAACGATTTTAACAAGTATACCGCAGTCACTATTGGCTGACACGCAAAGTGTAGACATTAAAGCACTGATATACATTCAGTGGTAGAATGCGTCAGAACGGCACGCATTATACAGGCGGCTATTGGGATATCCATACACAACCTCTACTATTGGGATCTGATTAACGTGCTCCGGTGCCCTCTGTGCTCTCTTTGCAGCTCAATTTCCAACAAAATTAGCTCGAAAATTAATAATCACTCAGGAATGCTTTGTGCTATCGTGGTAATAGCGTTTTTTAGAGTATCAAAAATAATTTTCCAATTTATATGCCATATAGTAAGGACTGCTCAAATAAAGGGTTACATGGGCTGATGTTGCTAGTGAAGTCACGTTAGAGTCGGCCAACCAAAGACAAACACAATCAATTGGACATTTTATACTTGCATTGATCATGTGTTTCGTCAACCCCGTACGAAGCACGAACTCAGCGGCAATATTAACCGAAATATACCTTTGTACTGTGGCAACAAGTTGGATTAGAAAAACTTAGAAGTGTGGAAGTTTTCTCAGATGGACCGAATGATACGCGTCCTTACTAACGTTACATAGGTATGGTGCAAAGACTAGTATAAAATACGGTATTGTGCCATGCATGACGATGGTCTGTTTGAGGTGGTGAGTCATACAACAGAAGACATCATGCACACAATGTTGCCACATTTTGCTTAACGTAAGGAATCATCCCAGTTACGTTTGAATCTTATACACGCGGAGAGATGTCGGATTGACATCAAAATGGCCTTCGAGAATTGTATTGCAGCAACAGTTTTCTTCCTTAACCAATAACTCTAAACGTTAGGGTCGAATCTCACCTCTTGCTGGGCTCATCCGAACAGATCTTCTACAGCGTAGGCACGGACGGCACACGCAGTCTTCACACTTTTCATCATAATTAAAACATAGTTTAGTGCTCAGTTCTCTCCCCGGTACTTTTTCAACTATCCTAATATAGGATTCATGGCGTTTTCTAAAACTATTAAAGTATCTTCTCCCATATTTCTAGGGGCTATTTCTCATTCTTCCAACCGAGCAAGCAGCCAATGATATTCGCCTTCGTTTCGACAAATGAGTGCAAATTGTTTACGTACGCGTCCAAAAATTAGACTCTAAAATAGGTACACGTGTTGAAATTTCGCGCGCAAATACGCTGGCTGAGTCTCTGCTCCGTTTCATAGTTAATAACAGAAACGACAGGCAAAAGATATGGCAGTAAACTGTTAGGCCGGTGTAATATTTCTAGAATATTCCTCTTGGCGACAAAGTGCAAACCGTTGATAGGGGATGTATGACTCAGCGAATCGGAAAGACAGGTGCGGTACTACGCAATAATGGATACGCATGATGTCACGCTTACGCACACTAGAGGCACATATCGCTGAGCAATATGCTCTCGTATTGACATTACTTTCCGGTGTAGGTAAACGACTTGCTCTGCGCGCATGGGCGTAACGTCTTCGAACCGCCGTATAACTGTTCTCCTGGGCGTTGAAACTTTTACACATAGAATTTCAAAATGCGCCCCTTTTTGGGTGGACTGATTACACAAGAATCCGCGATCAATGTCGCTGTGGCAATGAGGAATAATGTCGAGCCCGACAACGCTATTATCTAATCAATCTAACTAGGAAAATGTTTTAACAAAAAAAGCCTCTAACGTGTGCACGTTATCGGAGCTATTCTTGATGCGATTTGTAACGCGTAACTATAAGTTCACGGAGTTCACGGCTTAAGAGATAAATTGTGGCAAAAAATTCCTAGTTCAATTAGCCAGCGGACAAACAATAGAATCAGGCTAGAATAGTTAATCTAATCAATGCCTGTTGCAGTAGTGTCCCGCCTAAAATGGATTGTAGGATAAATAAATGTTTAAACAACAATAAATGTTACAACACTTACAATCTGGACGATAGTCAGCAGTCCGTTCCTTGAAGTGATTTGATCAATGTGCATTTTGCCGGCGATGTATTGCTTAAATCCAAGCAGAGCACCACAAAACAGCCTTAGACCCGGCGTTTCCCTGCTTAGTTGTTATAGGTAAATGGGATTGGCAGTATCCGGCTGTTAATGACGACGCTAACAACAGTAACTCTGTCAGTAGTGTGATACACTGTCAAATCGCGCGCGGGTCTTACCCAACAACAGCACACGGTTACCCGCAATAGTCAAGTTTGACAACACGACAGAAGCAAAGAGGCCGACGCCGTAGGAAGGGGTAAAATGGGCAACTGGGCGAGGAGGTGGCGCCAGTCATCCTGGTGGGCCGCCACCAGTGAGCTGGCGGCCTCAAGGAATACTTTACGATATACGTATGCACGTACAATAGTACCATAGACCACAGGCCCTGACGGGTTGGTGGCCTGGATGGCTGACTAGCTCCCCGCCAACGCGACGCCAGAGCTTCTCGCCTAGATGAGAGGGAAAGCGAGCTTACCCATACCACTGACCAGTTGCCCATGCGGAGACAACATCCGCGACGAAGCTGTTATCGCTATATTATTTTTGTCGTAGCTGTGGTGGTAGCAACAATGGTTGTTGTAACTATGGTTATGAGGATAATTTGGTAACTGGTAGCCACCACACGATGAGGGGCAACGGTCATATCGAAACGGACAAAGGCTATCAAAAGTACATGTTGGGAACTCATACTGGAGGAATCCTAAACGCTTGGTAGATATGTGCAGTGACGTTCTTCTGAGTGTTGGTAAATCGTTCAATTAGGTAAGATAAACTATACATGGGATTTGATTGTGGAGAGATGTGTGAACTTGTAGAGGATGAAGGAAAGAAGCCATTGATAATTGGCTAACGTTGTCTAATTTCAAACCCTCGTCTCTGGAATGCGAGGCACTGATAAGTCAGACCACCGATAAAACGTGAGAAGACAACTAGACACTAGAGCCGCTATCCGTTTGTTCAGTACTGACGGATCTGATTAAATTAGGGAATGATGAGTTTTTTTTTGCGGTTTTTGGTGGTGTACCCAGAAGCTATTCAGGCGATTGTTATTTTTTCTACGGCGTATCGTTTGCTTTCTCTACCGTGATACATGCAATAAGTGCCCACTACATAAGGACAAGCAGACGTACATCTCCAGACTCTACGAACTAGTATATTTTAAAGTATTTAACATAACTGACACTTGTTTCAGGTAGCGCATAAGAGATCGGTCCCAAATAAAGACTTCTATCATACATTTGGTATAATGAAAATGTTAGAATTGTGCATCCAGGTCTCATGTACATTGCACTTCTTAGCGCTGTGCTAATTGACAGTAAAAGCTGGGGTAGTTTATTTTGGAACTGCTATACAAAACGCACGACAGTCGCCCCTTCTACGATGAGATCTAGTATATTTTTGTAATTATTGTCTACTAGTAGATAGGTATCTATACGCTTTACTCTATGTGTCGATCTAGCTATGCGTATGAGGTGAGACGCGCTGAAAATACAGCGAAGGTCAACCTAAGTTTGGTCGTACTAAATAAAATTTCTTTACGTCTCAGGTCTTCTATCAGCGCCACAAGCTATAATCAATTACTGTTGCTAACTTCCTCAAACGGATCGAACTTTCTCTAAAGCAAAGTCTATAATAAACCCTCACTAAAATCCATCAGCTTATACTTAAAATGACTGTTCTTCATGGCCAACAATTGACAAGGGTTCATTTGTGCTTCGCAACATCTTTTGGGCATGCCAGCTTGGGCAATTAGGGCAAAACTTTGCATTCGTTATTATAATATCGTAGTGCGACCATATACACCTAAGTACTTGCTCAAATGATAGGCATAACAATGCAATGTAGCATCCTATAGCTTGTGGAAGGCAAGGTGGATTGCATGCGTGTTGCTGCTCAATGACGAAGCGCGTCGGACCATCGAACGGGAATGTCTTGCGAACGAGAAGATTGCAAAAACATAATAAACGAATATCGCACAAATGTGATGGGTAATAAAAATAGGAACAATGAGACTATCCTGCCAGCCAATGTACAAATGTTAGCCGCCCAAAACAGCAAGCTGAATGCAGTAACAGACAGTTATCTAGAGAAGTTTTCTATAGCATTAAGTTGTTCTTCACCACATAAGTCACCACTGTTTTTTAAACGATGTCATAGCGAAGCTGATTTTTCCTCCTTCTTCTTCTTCTTACAAGCGAGATACACTGTTCTGTTGGAAAATTCCATGCTTGAAGTTTCACCTTTTACTGATCAAAAGCTCAATAAACGTATCTTTAAAAGATTGCTTGAGGCAAGCGCCAATAGGGATTCGCAGTAAACACGCCCACGTACTTATCGAATTTATCGTGTAAACCAATTATAGTTTCTGTTATAGTTTAAATATCGGCTTAACTTGTCAACAACAGCCAATTGAACAAGTATCGTAGTTATATCTGCAGTTACGATGAACGAACTCGAACGTTCGCTTATAACCCACTCGGTTCTTCATACGGAACCTTGTCGCCTTTACTAGAAAATGTGTGACTTTCGTAAGTTTTCATTGGATTCATATACGGAATAATTCTACTCATTGAATGCAATAAAGTGTCTTCACCCTTTAAAGTCTCGTTGACGGCGCTCTATTCAATTGAAATGCCAAAATATTGTTTTAAAATATGGTAAAAAAAAAAAAAAAAAAAACATTCGCTTTATACGTTCACGACGAATCCAGTGGGTTATTACGTCCGGATATAATTGCGTCTAATAAACCCTACGTCTGATGAAACGTTCTAGGTCAGGTCGTGTAATGACTCAAACACGAATTGTTCGTTCTTTTTTTAAACACGGAACGGCTTTTAATTAATGGACCATGTTAGTATTATGGAATACCGGTGGACCAATGACAACTTCTATTGCATAAAATTACAGGGTGCTAAATACACTACAGTCACAAAGTATCTTTTGCGGACAAACCGCTCAAGCTGGAATTACATTCTTCACGTAATTCACGAAAGCGCCTCTTCTATTTATAAACAATTAGTAAATTATACGCCGTCCACTTCTACCAGTGACGCTAAAATTTTAATAGTCGAATGGAAGAAATTTTATAGTTACAAAAAAAAACATTAATAATTATAATGCAAAGATAATGCTTATTGAAATCAGTAACTATGACTCTATTGAAAACTTTTTATTATTAAATATATATATATATATATATATATATTAAAAAAAATCTATTAAAATTTTCACTGTGGTTCCAAATCTCATAAAACTGATCAGTTGATATAGCAAAAAGCTGAGATTGAAAATGCTAACGCTGTGACAACATACCGCTGCTGATGGCGAGGCAACTTATCATATCACTGTAAAAAGTTACGCGTATATTTGCAGGGAAATCAACTTGGAAAATATCAATGATGAACTGTTAGTTAAAACTTGTGTTGAAAGACAGTCTCGCTGAGAAGAACGGTTAAATGATCCGGTTAGTACGCACGAACACAACGGTACGGATAGGATTTTCAATTTTAGCTTTTATTGAATGAACTACGCTACAGGCGTTCGTTGTTCCCTTGATTACAGTATTATGTAGATGGGATGACGGATACAATGCAAGCTCGTTCTTGAGAAATTGTATCTATACCGTACCATGATTGTGACCATTATCCAGTTGCTTCTATTATCGTTAGCCGAAACAAGCCAAGCGTATCCCCAAATATTTCATTTAAAATTATTATCTGCTCATAAGTGTTTACAGTATGATAGCTCCGTGCCAGGTGGGGTATGCTTCATTGAATCTGTTTAGGTCGACACAGAGTTCGAGGCAGGAATTATAAGACACATAACATGATGAGGATTATGTCGCTTTTAGCAGGAGCAACCCAAATGACAGTTTCAATGAGTCGGTTGTATTAGTGACATAGAACGAAAGTTAACAACTAGCCACCCCCTTGTTATCGCGACTATGTGGGTCAGTATCGTTAGGTATTGCATTATAGAACAGCCTGATATATCCGAAACTCTATACTATTCCATTGAGTGGAAGTCTCACTTCCCAACACAAGCGAATATGATTGAAACAATCTGTACAAATTTTAAAAGTCACTGACGCTGCGCATTGGCCTACTATAGGCTCACTTGCAAAATGCGCGTCAAGTCAGCCGCAGAGGGCCAAACTTACTAAACATTTTTAAGTTCAAACCAAATCGTTTATTCCTAGAATCATTACGAGAGCTATAGTTATTTATACGTGTCGCATGAGCAGGGGGGTCTATGAGCACGGTCCTTCTAGGAACTTCTTACGTGATATGTATGTACGTATAGACAATTACATTATCATATAAGTATCAGGAACTTTTTCAACCTATAATATATACGGTCTACTCTGTGTGAGTAAACGTGAAGTTTAATTGAAATGAAGCCCTGTGTAAATAACTGAATTGGAAGTTGCATCCTTGAACTACTTGTGATTTGAACGGGCCACCTCGCGGGATGATTTGGTCAACGTGCACCATTTTTACACGGTTCTTAGTTTATGCACAACCAATTTGCAGACAACAAAGTATCCTTCCGCTGAAAAGTATTCGCCGCAAAGGGTCGACGGCGATAGCGCTTCACAGGTAGGATGGTTCAATGACAGGTAGCATGAACTCTGCACGCTAATATTTATAGACGCATGTTAGCACGATGTAATGATGGCAGTACTGCTGAAACGTTCAAGGTTCAAGACGACAAAGGAGCTAAATCACAATATACTAACGATGACTCGGTCTAATTCGTGTAAAGCTATGATGCGAAATATCCACCAAATGAACAGGTTTTGGAGATACGCCCTTAATATATATATATATATATATATATATGATATTTATGCCTTCTAAGCGCTTTAGCTGTGAAGTTTACAACCAATTTTTGCTACTCAATTGAACAAAATCTGTATCATTGTCCTATGTTTTTGTTTGCCTAATAATAGGACAATAGATTCGCAAAGCAGACCCAGAAGACGATTAATAACTCGCGTATTTTTTTTTTTTTTTTTTTGTTATAATGCAGTCGATGCTTCACGACTTCAAGGACGTACTGCAGTATCGTACCCTGATATACGCGTATAACCCGAATGAAGGAAAATTAATACATTAATCTGTCTACTTTTTTTTTTCTTAAAGCCGTACGTTTATTTATCGTAGGTCCTTTTGGTGATGCCAAATAGCCTGATCCATCGAATCCTACTATTAGCACACGTCTTCTGCCTGTTTAACAAACCTTACCAAGGAACTTTTTTTTTTGCTAGAATAGAACAGTCAAAAATTCAACGAACCCATTATTACATGAGAATCACTTAACTGGATTGTGAAATCTGTTCGATTGCCGGAAGTGGATATTTTTATTTATTTCAATTTGATTGAATTTTAGTGTCTTTTATTCTTTTTTTTTTTTTTTTTTTTTACTATAACAATGATTCCTGTGCACGCCATCTTTTTCTGTTTCTTTCATTTCTATCAGGATTTCTATCAGGTATGTCAAGCATCACACAGGATGACGAGCATTAACGATCTCAGGGATTTCGATTTAGCAAAGCCGGTGGGCCACCTGTACCAGCAAAACAACGTCTACTTTGTGCGGCTTTGAAGGATGCTATCTAAGCAATGACATCCCCACTGGGGTAGTAAGGAGAGAAGTCATGAGCAAAAGTCAGATTGTTTTCAAGACGGGAACAGCTGTCCGTATCGGCGTACGATCGGTTTCTGAGTACACGAAAAATAGTAACAAAACACGATTTGTTACGTAGAGATGTGAAAATCCGAGTGAAGGTCTTGTAGAACATGTCAAACTAGAATATTTTTGAACTTTTTTGAAATGTCAAGGATATTTTTAAGCCTATATAAAG